AGGTGGGGGGCATGGAGGGGTGCGTGGGTCGTTTTTGTGCGAGAAATGGTGGGGTGGGGGGTCACAAGAACAGAGACTCCTAGGGATGGCGGTGTCGGGGCGAGGTGGGGGGCATGGAGGGGTGCGTAGGTCGTTTTGGGCCAGAAATGCTGGGGCGGGGAGCTCCAAGAAGAGATGCTCCTAGGGGTGGGGGTGTCGGGGCCAGGTGGGGTGCCACTGAGGGAGGCGTAGGTCGTGGGGGGCATGGAGGGGGGCGTAGGTGTTTGTTTGGGCGAGAAATGGTGGGGCGGGGGGCCCCAAGAACAGAGACTCCTAGGGATGGGGGTGTCGGGGCGAGGTAGGGGGCATGGAGGGGGGCGTAGGTCGTTTTGGGGCGAGAAATGGTGGGGTGGGGGGCCCCAAGAGCAGAGGCTCCTAGGGATGGGGGTGTCGGGCCGAGGTGGGGGGCATGGAGGGGGGCTTAGGTGGTTTTGGGGCGAGAAATGGTGGGGTGGGGGTCCCAAGAACAGAGACTCCTAGGGATGGGGGTGTCCGGGCGAGGTGGGCATGGAGGGGGGTATCCGCTGATTTTGGGGAAGAAATCGTGGGGTCGGGGGTCCCAAGAACAGAGCCCAGAGGCCTGGGGATGCCGTGGCCAGGTGCCGGGGCCGTTTGGGGGGTGTGGGTCGAGGCATGGTGGGGGGTCCCGGTAAGTTTTGAGCGCGAAATGGTAGGGTGGGGGGGCAGAAAAACAGAGGCTCCATGGGGTGGGTGGGTGCCGGGGCGTGGTGGGAGGTGTGGGTCGAGGCGTGGTGACAAAATCGTGGGGTCGGGGCTGCCAAAAACAGTGTTCCAGAAGCCTGGGGATGCCGTGGCCAGGTGGGGGGCATGGAAGGGGGTATCGGTCGATTTGGGGCGAGAAATCGTGGGGTCGGGGGTCCCAAGAACAGAGCCCAGAGGCCTGGGGATGCCTTGGCCAGGTGGGGGCCAAGAACAGAGCCCAGATGCCTGGGGATGCCGTGGCCAGGTGGAGGGCATGGAGGGGGGTATCGGTCGATTTTGGGCGAGAAATCGTTGGGTCGGGGGTCCCGAGAACAGAGCCCAGAGGCTTGGGGATGCCGTGGCCAGGTGGGGGGCATGGAGGCGGGTATGGGTCGATTTGGGGCGAGAAATCGTGGGGTCGGGGGTCCCAAGAACAGAGCCCAGAGGCCTGGGGATGCCGTGGCCAGGTGGGGGGCCCCCAAGAACAGGGGCTCCATGGGGCGGGGATGCCGGGGCCAGGAGGGGGGCGTCGGTAGGTTAAGAAATCGTAGAGCCCCGGGGTCCCAAGAACAGAGGCTCCATGGGGTGGGGATGCCGGGGCCAGGAGGGGGGCGTCGGTAGGTTTTGGGCGAGAAATCGTAGGGTGGGGGGTCCCAAGAACAGAGGCTCCATGGGGTGGGGATGCCGGGGTTGGGCGAGAAGTCGTAGGGTGGGGGGTCCCAATAACAGAGGTTCCATGGGGTGGGGATGCCGTGGGACGCCGAGGCGTGGAGGGAGGCGCCGTGGGGTGGGGATGCCGGGGCGTGGCGGGGGCGTGGTGGGGGGCGTGGTTGGGGGTATCGGTCGGTATTGGGCGAGAAGTGGTGGGGTGGGAGAAGGGGGGGGGGGGGGCCAAGAACAGGTTCCAAGGGAGGAAGCCAGGAGGGGGGTATCGGTCGGTGGCTGCTTGGAAGGAGAAGCTCACGATGAATGGTTCTAGCACGCACTCTCCCTCACACGCCTCTGGGGTCGGCGGATAGAGAGCCCTGAATGGTTTTTTTCTCCAGTATCACTTTATGTGTGCATGTGCACTTACAGGGTTAGGTTCGTGCGCGCGTAAAACTATATGCACATATGTATGTGCGTGCGTATTCGCATGCGTATATGTAAATGTGTATGAGTGTTGCTGCATGATTCATATCCGTATACATGTTTATGTGTGCATGTGTTAAGCGGTATGTGTGTATTCCTATGTATGGGCATACGTGTATGTATGTGTATGCGTAGATGTATACGTGTCTGGCTAGCTAAACAAGCATACACTCATGCATACATACATACATACATACGTACATACATACATACATACATTCATTCACACATACATGCATACATACATATGTCTCTATATAGATATACATGTCGATGCATTCGTGTATGTATGTGTGTATGTCTGTAGACAGCCATGCACACATAAATGCAGGCAGACAGGCAGGCAGGCATGGATTCATGCATGTACGTTTGTATGTGCGTATGTATGTAGGTAGGTAGGTATGTATGGATGCATGCATGCATGCATGCATGCATGTATGTATGTATGCACGCATGTATGTATAAAGTATAGGTGTATGCATATGTATATGCCCCCCGGCCCTTCCGCGGGGCAGGATGACAGATCGGTCCACCGCCTGGGCAACCGAATGTGGCCCCCTGGACCCATTTTCGGCCCTGCGAAGGGCGCTCCAAAAACACCCATGATGGCTTTGCCGTAACCATCTTGGCTCAGGCCATGACGCTCCAGCGCTCGATCCCTGGTGCTGCGTTCCCCCCTACACCCCCGGCCGCGTTCAGCGAGCACCGAGGCGGTCCGCCTCTCGCAGACGCCATGCTTTCCAGACAGGCGTGTGCCTCCGCTGTCGTGACGCGGAAGAGCTTCGACACCTGCGCCGTGGCCACGAGGAGCATCGAGGGCGGGTGGCAGCGGAACCCGGTCAGGGCGCCCGTCTTGCCCCGCGAGGAGGAGCTCCCGTGGCCCGCGGGCCTGGTACGGGCCAGTGCCCCGTTCGATGAGCAGACCCCGCTTGGCGCTTGGCGCGAGGCGGAGATCCCATGGCCCGCCTTCCCGGTGGAGGACACGAGCAGCGGCGGCGGCTTGGACCGCCCGTCTCTGGCGTTCGATTCGCCGAATCGAACGCAGCGGCGCCGGATGCAGCGTCGGATGAAGAAACTCATAGACAGGCAGATGGTGTCCGAAGACTCGCACGGCACGCGGACAGTAGGCACGCCTCCAGGAATTTTCGCCCAGCCGGGCCTCTTTTTGGATGGTCATTTGACATTGGAGCCGAGCGTTGTGGCGTGGGCTCGTCTATTGATGATCAGCAGCACAAGGCTCGAGCTAATCAATGTTTGTCCGATGTCGTGGACCGAAGCAAAAACAGAAAGACACAAAAACAACTCAGTTTGGCTTGAGACATTGGGCACCTCTCTGCCCCCGCGCGCCAGTCAGTCTGCGCGGGGCGCAGGGTTTCCCGCGCGCCGTGGCTTAAAGCCTTCGGCGGGGATTGACCCTGCACCCTCCGCGTCGGCACTGCGTAAATTCTCGGATTGCCGTTTCGTCCTCTGCAGCCCGCGGAGTAGTTAGCTGGCGCTGCAAGTTTTGTCCAATTTCTGCCCTCTTTCCTGAGGCCTTCTTCCTCACTCCTCCCATCCTCCTCTGGACTGTCTGTCTGTCTGCTTCCCCCGTTTTCCCTGGAGCGGTGCTCTAGGTGTCACCTGGCTTTCGTTTGATCAAAGCCTCCAGCGACGACCAGCCTTGGGGGGGGCGGAGGGCGACAATCGAGGTTTCTTTTCGCCATCCGGCATCAGGAATCAGGAATCAGCCGGAGCAGGATGAGAATAATGAATTTGGAAGCGTATGCCTTGTGATGTTGCACGGTTTTACCCGTCGATTCGCCATGCTGGTGTAAGATTGGAAGCGTAGTGCGGGTGTAAAAGGCGAAGTGCGCCTCCCATGAGTAAATGTTTGAATTTTGCCTTCGGCCGCGTGTGGCTCTATGTGGTGCATTTGCCATGGAGGTTTCTGCAAGGCCGAGGGCCTCTGAACAGTGCTCTTCCCTGTATGGCTGCATCCCTGGTGGCAGCATGTGGGGGAGGGACTCGACCCTTCAGGAGAAGCAAGCGTGGGCTTGGCTCTTCGCGCACGGGCAGCCGTGCCCTCCGGCTGACGGCTCGCCTGGCCTCCCGCTCGAGCCCCCGCTCCTACTTCCTCCTCTTGTCGGAATCATCGGGGCTCTTCTCAGTTATCCCGTGTGGCTTGAGCCATCGGGGTTCTTCTGATCAAAGGCCTGCAGAATCCGCAGTAGGTGTTTTTTCCCGAACAGCTTGCTGAACGGGATGGTAGAAGCTATTCTGAGGGAAACTACCCTCCGTTCAAATGTTCTTGCAACGCAAAAACACACACCCATGATGGCTTCCAGGCAGCCTCAGAGGCCTCCAAGACGAGACGACCCGAGTGTGTCCCAAGAGCACCCCAAGACCGCTCACGATGATTCCAAGACGGTCAACAAGCTCCCCAGAAGGCCCAAGAGAGTTTCAAGAGGCCCCGAAGAGGGCATCTAGACGCCCAAATCAACCCCAACATGTTTTTTGTTGTTTTTAAAACATTCACCATTTAGGTCTTCACAGCTCCAAGGCGGCCCAACTGCTCCTCCAAGACTGCCTCGATCAAGGCTGCCAAATGGGCCCCTCATGAGGCATCAAGGCTGCCCAAGAGAGGTTGAAGGCGGCCCACGAGGCGCCCAAGACGGCCACAACAGAGGATTCGAACTCACATTTCGAGCTCTCCGCCACAAGGAGGCCCAGGAGAGTTGCAGCAGGTCCCAAAGAAGCCCCCTCCTCCCTCGTTCCTCCTCTCTATCCCGCTCCTCCATGACAGCGTTCGCATCAACCCCCCTATTTCCCCCCCCCTCGACCCCCTCCAACTCCATCTTCTGTTCCTCCACCCGTTCAGCCCCATCCTTGTCGTTCTGGTCCCCCTCCTCATCCTCCCGTGACCTCCCTCCCTCATCCTCTTGCCCCTGGTCTCCTTCACTCCTTCTCATGCATAATCCGTCCCTCCCTCCCTCCCCCTCATCGTGAGCATGTGCATGCATAAGCAAAGCCGTAAGGAGCGAGCTCCTCCATAACGATGGTCGGGGGACAACGCCAGGGATGGTGGAGGTGGTATGCTATGCTGGGTATGCCATGTTAGCGCTGTTACGCGACGATTTGGACCATTATGCAGCTAGTTGTTGTGCTACGCCACCTGACGCCACGCAACGCAATGCAATGCAATAATATGTGGTGCTACGCGACGCCATGCAATACAATTCAATGCACTGCTACGCGATGTTACGCATGTCGTGATATGCTATGCTGCGATAAGAGGCTTTGATTTGTTTATGTTTTCTGGGCGAGCCCAACGCGTCTACTCCGCAGTCGGGGCGAGCCCCGTCCGTCTCGAGTGGGCTGAGCCTCATGGCGTGGCAATGCGTCGTCCCCAATGCAGCGGCAGGTGCGTGCTCGGGTGCACGCGGTTGCACTCCCCTACTGCCAACCACGCACTAGCGCCTAGGTTATTGGTGAGGTCAGGGCAGGATGTCACTTCTGAGGTCAGGGCAGGATGTCACTTCTGATTCACGTACGCGACAAGCCGCGCCCACGCTTCTTTAGGAGTCTCCGTGGCATCCGAAAAACTGAAAGCTTTGTCGACACGTTCGCCGATGCGTAGCACTCTCCATTTCTGGGCAGCGGGCGACGTGTAGATCTTGAAACCATTGTACATCACCATAGGTTTTGCCGTGTTGGGAACACCTGGGAACGTGAGCTTCGGGGCCGATTTCTCAAGCTTCTCGGGCGTCTCCGTGGCGGCCGCGGGCCGCTTGAAGGCTTTCTTCTTGTGTGCTGTCGGGGTGGGATGGGAGGACGAGGGGGGAGGGAGGGCGAGGGGGAAGATGGCGATGATGCCCGCGGGGTAGAGCGAACGTGTCGTGCCACGACGGCCCCCGCGCGCGCCCCCGCGCGCGCGCCCTCGCCTCGGCCGCGGCTCCGCGCGCCGAAGCAGTCAGTCAGGCCTCACCGCGCGCGGCTCGCAGCAGCCTGGCGACCTTGGCGGCCAAGCTCGGCGAGCAGCTGCGCTCGCGCGCGCGGCGCCGCGGGCGCGGCCCGCCGCCGCCGCCGCCCGCGGCCCCCGCTTCGCCTCCCGCAGCAGGTCCGTCAGCAGGCCGTTGGCCCTCCTCCTGCAGTCTGGCCACCTTGGCCACGCGACTCGGCGACGGCGAGGGACAGCACGCGCGCACGCATCGCCGCGGGGGCGGCCCGCCTCCCCCACCGCCGGCAGGCAGCCCCGCCAGCGCGGCCTCCAGCACGTCCACGCCTCCAGCCGCAGAGCCTCCCGCCAGCGGCTGGCCCACACGCCCTGGAGGCGCCTTGGCGGCCAGCCTCGGCGAGCTGCTGCGCCCGCGCGCGCGGCGCCGCGGGCGTGGCCCGCCGCCGCCGCCGCCCGCCGTCCCCCCCTCGCCTCCTGCAGCGGGGCCGCCAGCAGGCAGCTGGCCCTCCGTCTGCCGTCTGGCCACCTTGGCCACGCGGCTCAGCGACGGCGAGCGGCTGCGCACGCGCTCGCATCGCCGCGGGGGCGAGCCGCCACCGCCTCCGCCAGCAGGCGGCTCCCCGAGCGTGGTCACCTGCTCGTCCACTCCTCCAGCCTCCGGTCTGGCCGCCAGCGGCTGGCCCTCACGCCCGCGAGGCGCCTCCTCGTCCAGCAGCTCCCCGCTCTGGTCGCCGAGGCGTGCGATGACAACCGGCACCACTCTCGCCGTGCGGGGGGCGAGCCCCCGCATCAGCCTGGCTACCACCGCACTGCCAGCTGCGGATGGCGGCAGCTTGCACTCGCCGCTGAAGCCGCAGGCCCTGGCGGCGCCCGCGAGCCCGCAGAGGCGGCAGGCGACCAGCGGCATCTTGCGCTCCAGCTGCTCGTCCACGACAGGGCGGAGGACAACCAGGTCATGGGCGGCGAGCCCCAGCTGTCTCAGCCTCCTGTTGGCTCTCGCCGCGTCCGCCACGATGGAGCCTGGGCACTCACCTGCCCTCTCCTCCCACCTGCAGACCTCGCACCACCTGGGCTGCCCAGGCTTCCCGCGCCAGGTGCAGGCCACCTGCGCGGCTGCCGCACGCCGCTCAGGTTGAGCTCGCTGCTGCTTCACCTTGCCGTGCGTGGTGTCGCTGCCGTCGAGTCAGGTGCCCACCGCGGAGCACCACATGGCGACCCTGTCGACGAGGCTTCGGCTCTGAGCGAGTTGCTGGCGCTCACGGCCAGGCAGGCGCCCCGCTGCGACAGCAGCCTTGGCCGCGCGGTCAGCCAGCCGATTGCCGTACCAGTCACGATGCGACACCTCCCCAGCCTCCACCTGCTTCCTCGTGCAGTGGCTGGGCACCCACCGCAGGTGCACCTCACTCCCTAGACCCCCACGTTCATCCAGTAGAGCCCACGCTTGCCTCCACAGGTGCGTCCAGGAGTACCCGCTGGCCGTCGTGCGCTCCCGCCCCACCTGATAGAAGCCGCCGAACACGTACTTGGAGTCCACGAGCAGCACGGTGTCGCCGTTGCCGTACCTCAGCGCCATGACCACCGCCGTGAGCTCGCTGCCGTTGATGTCGACGTACGGGCCAACCACCTGTCCAGCGATCGACGCTCTGTAGTCGCCCCCATCCTCGAGCAGCGCGACCACGCTCCAGCCCGCCGACGTGAACTCGCCGTAGTCCGCCTCAAACACCGAGCCGTCCAAGAAGAGCTCGCCCGCTGGCAGAACCCCTCCCTCGTGGCAGCCCTTCCAGCAGACCAAGTCGCTGGCCTGAGGCTTGCGGAACTCCTTCGGCACAGGCCACAGGCACCTCTCCAGCAGCAGCTGGACACCAGGCTATTGCCACCTCCTCCTGAGGTCTGCTAGGTCGGGGGGCATGGCCAGCACACCCTGCCAGCTAGCACAGTCACAGTGCCTGTGCAACAGGGTGCCCTCCAACCCACACCTCAGACACGCAGCGCTGCTTGCCAGCCCTTTCTCCGCCTTCCTTGCCTGCGTCCACTGCCCATTGACGATGAGGGACCGCAAATGCGCCTTCTCGTGCTGCGTGAGACTCACCTCAACCATGCCAGCGCCTCCTCCCAGCAGACATTCTGGGCAGCGCACTCTACCTGTGGTGGTTAGCCTCACCAGCGGCTCCAGCTCCTCCTCCTGCCGGGTGGCTGCACCCTGGCTCGTTGCTGACCTGCCTCCACTGCCACCGCTGTACTCCTCGCATGACCAGCTTGAGCACGACCCACGGCGCGTAGTCGAAGGGCTCGATGGTGGCGCCGTCGTCCATGACCCAGCTGTTGGCCGTCGCAACCTCCCAGCCGATCCTCCGCAGCGACATCACCGTCGCCTCGCACGGCCCCTGGGCCTGTGCCCAGGTGGTGGCCCGCTTGCCCTGCAGGCAGCGGGCTATCATGTGGAACGGCACCCAGTTCTCCCACACCGCCCGCAGCAGCATCATCACGGGCACGCAGGTCGCGTCGATGATCGGGTCGAGCCCAGGCTGGAGCAGGAGCTCCAGTGACCTGCTCTTGCTCGCCGTGGTGTTGGACACCGCCACGAACGTCATCGTCCTGGCGCGGTCCAGCTCGCCCATCGCGCACCCTGTGATGGCCGTACCGTAGCCAATGCTCGCGTGCAGCCCCGTCTTCACCACCCTCTTCGTGGCGATCCGCTTGGCCTTCACCATCTTGAGCACCTTGAACTTCCTCAGCCTCTGCCCAGCCTGCTGGAAGCGTCCCGCGCGCACCGCTCGCCCCAGCTTCTTGCCCCCGCTGAAGTCGACCCCGAGGTTGCGCTCTTGCCTCGCAGCAAGCACCCCTAGCGGCGTGCGCAGCCTCCTCTCCAGCTCCTGCCTCGCCTCAGGCACGTTGGCGAGCGCCCTGGACTTCTTGACGGCGACCGCCAAGTCCACCTCGCCGAGCAGGGCCTTGAGATGCCTGGCCGCTGTCGTGATCTCCCCGACGGCGCGCTGCAGGCCGCCAACTCTCCTCATGATGATGTCACCCACCACCACCGAGAGGGCCACCGACGGCACCAGCGCCTGCAGCCTGCCCAGCGGCTCAAGCAACAGCATCTTGAGCATGAGCGTCGCCAGCCCATCCCCTGGCAGCACAGCCTGCTCCGTGTAGATGGCGTTGCTGACAGCCTCGTCGCGCGCCAGCCACCTGGGCAACCTGTACAGGCTGATCTGCAGCTTGAGCTGCCACAACGGAAACCCTGTCCTCCTCGCAGCACGGATGAGGTGCCCGTGTTGCATTTGCTCGTACGTTTTGAGCAGGTCCAAGAGCACGAGCGCGGCTACCCAGCTGGAGGCGTCGCCTGCATCACGCCCCCCAGCCGAGGCCCACTCGCACTCCACCGCCTGCTGCCAGACCGCCCTCTCGCATCCTT